AATATATTTTTATTGATTTTTTACAGAGAGGAAGGGAGAGAGATAGAGAGCTAGAAACGTCGATGAGAGAGAAACACTGACCAGCTGCCTTTTGCACACCCCCTACTGGGGATGTACCCGCAACCAACGTACATGCCTCTGACTGGAATTGAACCTGGGACCTTCCAGTCCGCAGACCGACGCTCTACCACTGAGCCAAACTGGTTTCGGCTTCTATTTATCTTTTAAAAGCAGTCATATTTCTTGGCATAGTGATTTCAGGTCTCTGAACCTGTAACTTTGAAACAATCCCACTCTTAGCCCATGAAGGAACCACCAACCACCCTTCCCTGCCTCCCAAACCTGAAACCCACACTCACATCAAAGTCAGATCTGCTTGAAGGGAGGATGGAGTGATGCTTCTTCACTCAGATATTGGTCAATCAGATAATTAGCAAAAAGCAACCTTAACCATCATTATTAACTACTCATGAATGGAGCAGCCCAGCTACAGAGAAGTGGTTTGTCCAGGTGATGTCTGACAACTGCGTGATTCAAGTCTATATCAATGGTTCTCTACCCTGGTTACATATTAGAATCAACTGGGGAAGGAAAAATATTGGTACCAAGTACCCACCCTCAAACATTCTGATTCATTTAGTCTGGCATAGGAGGTATCAGTATTTTTTAAAGCTCCTCCAGTGAATCTCAGGTGCAGGCAGGGTTGTGTGCCACTGAATAATATAAATTTTTTTTTTTTTTTTTTGCAATTTCTTCATACAGTTCCCACCCGGTATATCAGAAGCTCTCCCAATATTTAAATGAGTTTCCACTGATTCCCCCACCCACTTTATAGGATTCACTGAGCTTATGTCTATACAATGTCAAAATAACCAAATCAACCAAATTGGTATTAATAAGTCAGCTAACCAATCCATTGACCAACTTGTTTTTTGTTTTTTTTAAAATATATTTTATTGATTTTTATACAGAGAGAAAGTTAGATAGAGAGAGAGTCATCGATCAGCTGCCTCTTGCACACCCCTACTGGGGATATGCCCGTAACCAAGGTACATGCCCTTGACCGGAATCGAACCCGGGACCCTTCAGTCCCCAAGCCGACGCTCTATCCATTGAGCTAAACCGGTCCCAGCTGACTAACTTGTTTTATGTTTTAGTGATGGTGGTGTCATAAGTATATTTCTTGAGGACAGTCATTTGATCTTTTTCTCTATAACAATCTGTTTTCTCTATAATGCTTACAGATAAAATGTCCTTGTTTAAGTTTCCTTAATTGATTGAGTTGTTAGTCCTAATGCTCAAATTTTCCTCTGGACAATATTTTAATTTAACTGAATCAAAATAGATTTTTAAAATATAGGACCTTTACATAAGAAAAATATTGTATAGGACTAATATAAGAAAGATACCAGTTTAAACCTGGCCTCGTATGACTTAAAATATGACAAATTTTAAGGTTTCCTTATCACTAGTATTTACTACCTTTGAAAAAATGTGGTGAGATGATTGATATAGAACATAAAGAACACTGATCTAGCACACTACTCTATTTGTAATGACATTTGTTCTTACTTTTAAATACTCATGGAAAGTCTCCCTTACTGTTACCAGTTAGCTTTCCCAAATTATGCTATAACTGTTGGTTCAAAAAAAATTTTTTTTAACTTCAGAGAAGAAGGGAGAAGGAGAGAGAAATAGAAACATCCTATATAATAAAAGCATAGTATGCAAATTGTCCCCTCTACCTGAGTTCACCTGGGAGTTCGACCAGGGCGTGGGCTGGCAGGGGAAGGGAGAAAGGCCCCGGCTGGTGGTGGCAAACAGTCAGGGAAAGGGAGGGAGTATTCAGCCAGCAGGGACCCTACCAATGCATGAATTTCATGTACTGGGCCTCTCTCTAGTCAATGATAAAAAAGAGAATCATTGATCAGCTGCCTCCTATATGTCCCACACTGGGGATTGAGCCTGCAACCCGGGCATGTGCCCTGACAGGGAATCAAACTGTGACCTCCTGGTTAATAGGCCGATGCTCAACCACTGAGACATGCTGGCTGGCCTGGTCTCATTAACTTTATATTCTCCATGCTTGTAGAGAGAGAAAGTCAAATAAGTAGTTAGATGTTCTGGACAAGAAATATAGATTGGGAGCCATCAACATAGAGAACTCTGTTTAAGAGGTTTATGTGGAAGTAATTATCAAAGGAGAGTGTTTATAAAGGGACATGAGATGGGTCAAAGATAAAATCCTGAGGAAGAGCTATATGGGGTCAGGTGCCCTCTTTTGTACTCATATTAACCCAATGCACACTGGTCAATGGAGTTTCCTTTTTTATTAATATATGTTAATTTGCTATTTTCCGACATATGCTTGTGCATAACTGTCAAGAGTGTTGGAGCATGACTGTATGTATGTGTGGTGGGGGTGGAGTAGGGTCAGAGCACAGGCCATGGAAACCAGCTAAGGAAGTTTTCTTTTTCTTTGAAAACCCTGCATCCTGCACAAAACTATAGGGCTCCTTCTACATGAATATTTAGGCACCGAATGAGAAGTTAAACTTGAGTGTTTAGCTAGTGGATTCGCATTGCTGACAGCCATTGTAATTTTTTTTTTGGCTTAAAATGATTTGTTAAGAAGTATTGTGATTCCGTGACTTTTAAAATCCAGATATTTCCTCCATGTCTTGGTTCTTCCTTTTGGAATTTAGAACAGTGGCTGCTATATTCTAGGTGTGGGTTAGGTGAGGCCCAGGGACAAGTTCCATTCCATATGGGTCTGAAAACTTAACTTTTTTTCTTTGACACAGAGTCTGCCCTCAATGCTGGCCAGCTGTTTGGCAAATATAGTTACAAGGCAACAGTGTAGTGACTTAACTTAAAGACTCATAAACAGGAGAGACTCCTGTTATGAAAATTCCAGGGAGAAGTTCAGTGATGAGAGTCCAACAGTGTTAAGAGGTCAGCTACTTAAGAATGGCAGAGTTAGGAGTCATTGTGCACCATCAACCAGCTTGAATGGTATGAAAGAGAGGCAGGAGGCAAATTCCCTTCCACGGATGTGGGAAATGAGAAACAGGATGAGGAGCTAGTCAGTGAGCACAGGTCCTTAAGAGGCTGGCTTTACAAGGGGGAAGAAAGTAATTGGTGGTATCTGGAGAGGCTGAAGGGGTTTTTCTTCCCTTGCCTTTCCTTTTCTTCCCTTCTTTTCTATCTCACTTTCTTCCTTTCTGCTTTCAAGATGGGAGGTTTGGGTTCTCTTTAGTCAGTGAAAAGGTCTAGGTTCAAAATATAGAAAAGAGGAGAGGGGATATTTATAAGGAAATTAAATACAGAGGGCATATCTATCATTGAGATAGGCAGAAAAGAGAAGAGGATACATGTAGATAGGAATAAACTGGAGAAATAGTTGAAGGAAAGAAAATGGAGGAAAACCCATACAACAGTCTATTCTTTCTATAAAATAGCAACCAACATATTTTGGACACTTTCTATGTTCTAAGCATTATTAAAATTACTTTAAATATGCCAACTCATGAATTTCTTAAACAAAAAAAGAACTCTGGGAAAATGAAATTATTCTAACTTTACAAATGAGATAGCTGAAACATTAAGGAAATAAGTATCTTGCTTGAGGTTATACAGTGACTAAGAGGCAAAACCAGGATGCAAAGCTGTTTATCATTATGCTGTACTGCTGGAAATGAAGGGTACATAGGTCACTTAGGATTTTGAGTAACCATTGTGTGCATAGGAAAGGTACAACATAGAATTGCTGAGTCACTCAAGATCTTAGTCTGTGTTGGAAATGATAATTATGTTTCGTCATTAATCTGCAAGGTTGAGAGATTTCCTCTAGCAAAACTTGCCTTACAAGTTATAGGAGTGGAAATGTTTGAAAATTTGCATTGATGGGGAGTTGGGAATTGGTGACTTGGAAGGAGTGGGATGCCAGAAAAAGAGAAATTGATGTATTGGATCATGAGCTCTAGCCTCTAAGAAGAAGAAATGGAGCAGGAAAAGTTGATGATATGGGGGTGGGTGCGTGCATAGGAAGAGGTTAACCAAAGAACTTGTATGCCTATGCATAACCCATGGACACAGACATTAGGGTGGTGGAGGCCTGGGGTCGGGGAGGAGGTGGGCTATAAGGAGTCAATGGGGGAAAAAAAAGTTGATGATATGAGAGAAAATGTAGGAGCAAGGAGCCTAAGAGCTCAAGGAGATTGAAAACTAGTTGAAAAATTGGAGACTTGCAGAAATAGAAAGTTGAGATTAGAAAGGGATACTTAAGAGAAACCAAGATGGTGGCATAGGTAAACCCCTAAACTGCTGCCTTGCACAACAATTTCAAAATACAACTAAAAGACAGAAAGGACACCAGAACTGCAGGAAAGCTGGCTGAGTGGAAATTCTATAACTAGAAGGAAAGAAAAAAGCTCACAGAAAATCAGAAGAGCTGCAAAGGACAACAACAATCAAGACTTAACTACAACAGGGCTGTACACACAGACCACAAAGGGGTGCACCAAGAGTGTCCACCTCAGGTGACTGAAAGGCCAAACTACTGGGCCATATAGGAAACCTAGCGCACAAAGCTACCCTACCAACTCAGGGAAGCAGCAAAAAAAATGTGGAGACAAAGTAACAGATCACAAATGAAAGAAATGGAAGGGAAAAAAAATGACTGGATATAGAGTTCAAAACCACAATTATAAGGTTTTTCAAGAATTTCCTAGAAAAGGCTGATAAATTTAGCCAGACCCACAAGGATATGAGAAAGGACCAACTAGAAATTAAATATACATTGACTGAAATAAAAAATATTATACAGAAACCCAACAGCAGACTAGAGGAATGTAAGAATCAAGTCAAAAATTTATAATACAAAGAAGTAAAAAATACTCAACCGGTAAAGCAAAAAAAAAAAAAAAAAAAGAATCCAGAAAGTTGAAGATAGTGTAAGAAGCCTCTAGGACAACATTAAGCGTACCAACATCCAAATTATGGGGGTGCCAGAAGAAGAGAGAGAACAAGCTACTGAAAACTTATTTGAAGAAATAATGACTGAAAACTTCCCCCACCTGGTGAAAGAAATAGACTTACAACTCCAGGAAGCGCACAGAACTCCAAACAAAAGGAATCCAAAGAGGACCACACCAAAACACATCATAATTAAAATTCCAAGGGCAAAAGACAAAGAGAGAATATTAAAAGCAACAAGAGAAAAACAGTTAATTACCTACAAGGGAGCATATGATTATCAACTGATTTCTCAACAGAAACTATGCAGGCCAGATGGAAGTGGTAAGAAATATTCAAAGTGATGACTAGCAATAACCTACAATCAAGATTACCCAGCAAAGTTATCATTCAGATTGGAAAGTCAGATAAAGAGCTTCATAGATAAGAAAAAGCAAAGGAGTTCATCATCACCAAACCAGTATTATATGAAATGCTGAAAGGTATTCTTTAAGAAGAGGAAGAAGAAAAAAATAAAGATAAAAATCATGAACAACAAATACATATCTATCAACAAGTGAACTTAAAAATCAAGTGAATTAAAAATCTGAGGACAGGATAAACTGGTGAATATAATAGAATCAGGGGAATAGAAAGGGAGTGGACTGATAATTCTCAGGGGGAAAGGGTATGGGGGGTGTGGGAAGAGACTGGACAAAAATCATACCTATGGATGAGGACAGTGGCGGCGGGGGGGGGGGGGGGGGGAGGAGGTAAGTGCAGAGAGTGGGGTGGAAACCAGGTGGAGGGGAGCTATGAGGAGAAAAAGAATAAACTATTGTAATAATATGAACAATAAAGATTTATTAAATTTGGGGAGGGGGGAGAAAGGGATACTTAATTCTCACAACAATCCTAGATTTTAGAAGTGAATGTTGGCATCAGTGATGATAGGTTGATAGTGTGACTTTGGGAATACGTGATTGAAATGGATTGGAGGTGAAGATTATGGGACGTGACAAGGTCAAAGTTGAGGCTGAGATCAGCAGAGATGCTGTATAGGTATTGACTAAACTCATTGGAATGGTGCCAGAAGCCCTAAGGACTGGTTTGGACTTTAGAAAGCTGCCAACTCAAATGTGTAATGGGCTTAGTCAGGGGTTGGGAATATCTAGCCTGTGGGCTGTATAAGGCCCAATAAGTCATTAAACTAGCCCTGTCAAGGCATTAGGTGTGAGTTAATTAAATGTTTGGCCAAATATAGCAGGCTAACTTTTAAGTTGATAATTTTGTATATGTGATGTTATAAATCTTCAAATGGACCTTGGCAGAAAAAAGGTTCCCTGCTCCTTCTCTTAGGAAGAGATACAAAAGATTAGCTGATATCTGGCATGCAATAAAAATCACTCATTGTCATTCTCAAAGAACAGTTGAATAGCTTATATTTTGTACTGTCACTTTTGAGGGGGGGAAAAAGCATAAGGTATCAATTGCAAAACAACATATTTCACCAGTAACTTTGGATGCTTTATCCTGGGAAGAAAAGACTACATACTCTGATGAAATCTCCTCTTCCTCTTCCTTCTCCCTCCTCTTTTTTTTCTCCGGGTAGTTCACAGAAGAGCATTGTCTGGGTAGAGAGAGGCAGCTGAAGGTCATCAGGCTTTTGGATGTAGAGTTTGTTGTCATTTGTGGAGTGGGGGTCATGGGAGAGGAGCTGGAAACATCAGTGGGAATCAGTGTGGTGTCTTTGCTTCTATAGTTAGCCATGTATGGGAACCAGCAGCATGTGTTCCTTTTGTACAGATGTGCATACTAGTGTCTCCTTTTCTCTCCTGCCTCTTTTCAGGAAATCAAACTTATTTATTTATTTATTTATTTTAAATATTTTTATTGATTTCAGAGAGAAAGGCAGAGAAAGGAGAGAGGAGGAGAGAGGAGAGAAAAAGAGAGGGAGGGAAGGAGGGAGGGAGGGAGAGGGAGGGGGAGAGAGAGAGGGAGAGAGGGAGAGAGGGAGAGAGGGAGAGAGAGAGAGAGAGAGAGAGAGAGAGAGAGAGAGAGATATCAATGAGGAGAGGGAATCATGAATCGATTGCTTCCTGCATGCCCCCTACTGGGGATGGAGCCTACAACCTGGGCATGTGCCCTGACCGGGAAGCGAACCTGGGATTTCCTGGTTCATGGGTCAATGCTCAACCATTGAGCCACACTGGCCAGGCAGGAAATAAAATTTAGATGTGATATTAGCTTGGAAAGCCTCACACATGAAGACATGGCGCTCCTGCATAGGGACATGAATCTGGGTGTGACAGGTAAGCAGCCTGTGTCAATCATGTATCAGTGGGGTGTAAGGAACAGAAACTCCAACCTAGAAAGGCTTCCCTAGTCAGGAGAAGAATTCCTTGATGTGGTAGAAAGTTCAGGAGCAGAAGGTCTGGGCTCTGACTTTGCTTCTCTGTGATTCTCTTGACTGTCCCTGCCATGAGTTGGTTTTATGCTCTACCTGATTCACATCATGGTTCCAAGATGACTGCCGTAGCATCGATAGTTTGCAGGGCCAGGTCACACTGAGAAAGGCAACACCCACTGAGAGGGGCAAAACTACGTCTTCATGTCTCTGCAATAGTGAGGAAACGTTTCCAAGAAGCTCCCAAAATTCTTTCCCTCAAGTTGTTGGCAAGGATTGTGCTACTGTTTTTTCCTTAACTCAGTCCATGACTGGCAGGGGGACAGGAATTTTGTAATCCTTGATTGATATTGGGGATGGACTGGATGCTGATTTCCAAGAGAAGGCTGAGGCCATTATGAGGAGATTGTAGCCTTGTCAAGGGAAAAGATCCTCAGTTAGTGGTCAAGTCCTAGACTTCAGCATTTGCTCGCAGTACGGACTTGGATAAATTACCCATTTCTGTGAGCCTCCTTTTTCTGTTATAGGATCGTTGTGGGACTTGGAAACACTTTAAGGAGCTATACAAACTGCAGTTATCCTCTTAGAAATAATAATTTTAGCAACAACTATAATAATAAGAGTAACAACTTCCAGTTAATGAAGACTTACCAGTTCTTGGCACTTGCACAGGCTTAAATGCATTCTCTTTATTGCTCACTAAAAACATATCATATTAAAGTAAATATTTCTGATCTCAAGTAAGCTGAGATCTGGAATAGTAAGGCTCAAGGGTAGGGACAGAGATCAGGAGTGGGCTCGGTTTCACCCAAGGGTTCCATTTTGTTGGCCTGTGTGACTGAGTAGCGGCAGCTGGCTATGGGGCCTCTGACAGTTGCTCTGTTATTTGCCACAGATTATCTTTAGCTAACTAGTTCAGGGCTCACTGCAGGAAGGAGTTACAAAACACAGGTATAGCCGGGACCGGTTTGGCTCAGTGGATAGAGCGTCGGCCTGCGGACTGAAGGGTCCCGGGTTCGATTCCGGGCAAGGGCATGTGCCTTGGTTGCGGGCACATCCCCGGTAGGGGGTGTGCAGGAGGCAGCTGATCGATGATTCTCTCTCATCGATGTTTCTAACTCTCTATCTCTCTCTTCCTCTCTGTGAAAAATCAATAAAATATATTTTCAAAAAACAAAACAAAACACAGGTATAGCCGAAGCCGGTTTGGCTCAGGGGTAGAGCGTCCGTCTGCAGACTGAAAGGTCCCAGGTTCGATTCCAGTCAAGGGCATATACATTGGCTGCGGGCACATCCCCGGTAAGGGATGTGCAAGAGGCAGCTGGTCGATGTTTCTCTCTCATCGACATTTCTAGCTCTCTATCTCTCTCCCTTTCTCTCTGTAAAAAATCAATAAAATAAAATAAAAAAAACACAGGTATATATGTACTATTACAACACGATGCTTTTCTTCCCACTATTCCTCTATTTCTTCAACTATAAGGGTGTTTTCTTTGCATATTTGTGCTTTTGAAATTGTAGAGGGATCTACCAATGTAAAGGTTCTTGAATATATATTTCTACTTAATGTAGAAGTCCAGCCTAGGTTTGTATTGCCTTGAGGTTTACTGGTCAAGAGACCTATCAGGCAATGAAGTCACCAAGTTGTAAATCTCCCTGCTGAGAACATGATTGTGAAGTGAACTTCTTCCATATTTTGGGTTCTACCCTTATGATCATTTCCGGGAAGGAGAAGAGCTAGGTATTGAACTTTGTACATGGTATTGACTGGTGTGTTCACCTAAGGTTTTTGAGTGGTGACAACACACTTGGAGTGTTCCTTTGAGATGATGCGTTTTCCTGTTCTCTGGTGTTTCATATGCTTGGGATCATAAAATATTTTCATCTCAACTGTTCTGACGGAATTTACTTTTCCCAGGCCCTCTCGCAATCGTAATAAAAGCAGTGTTTCTATGCTCATCCTGACCTGGAATTTGAGGAAATCCAGTCCATGTCAGTTATTCCCCATAAGCACCTACAGTCCTGGGGAGAAATGAAACTGTATTTTGATTCATCTCCCTGTAGGGTGAGTTAGGGCTCTCAGTCTGCATGCAGATAGATCCCGGATGAACCATCTTTCAGACACATCTGCTTTTTATTCATAGTTCTGGCCCTCACACGGGGCCTCTGCTATACTCCTAAGACAAACTTTGAGTAAATTGATGGGAAAATAAAGTGGGAAGTGCTTTTTTTCTTTTTTCTTTTTCTTTTTCTTTTTTCTGAGGAAGGATGAATCTGGAGTATTTGTTTTGGCATAGTGATGGAGATAGGAAGACTTTCATTCATTCATGTGACTCCACTTCTCATGTAATTTTCTCAACAATTCCTAAAATACTTTTCCCCGTCTCTTCCCACCCCCCACATAACATATTGGTGGATGCAGCTATGTAGCAATGAAAAGTAAGAGGAAGAAACTGCCACTATTCTGAAACAGATTTTAAAAAGATCTTAGTCGTGACTATAGTGAATATGATATACTAAATGGTGTTTATTTATATTTATGTTCTCTGCTTATATACCTTTCCAGATGATTTTATTTATTTTCATTTTTTTATTTATGTTGGGGAAAAGCCCCAAAAGTCTAAATGCAGGACCCATTCTGGAGTACTTAGAGATAGCTTATTCAAATTCTTAAGAGCTTTATTTTTTTGTTGATTTTTTTTTTTTTTTTTTTTTTTTTAATGATTTCAGAGAGGAAGGGAGAGGGAAGAGAGACACATCAATGATGAGAGAGAATCATTGATCAGCTGCCTCCTGCATGTCCCCTACTGGGGATAGAGCCTGAAACCTGGGATGTTCCCTGACCAGGAATCAAACCATGACCTCCTGGTTCATAGGTCCACTCTCAACCACTAAGCCAGGCCGGGTGGGCCATAAGAGTTTTGATAGGAGAAACTTACATACACGGGCAATGTAGCA